TTTGGAACGAGCCTCTTGTTTTTTACCTTCCTTCCTTAACTCATTCAGTCATGCAGGCAGACTCCACACTGCCTGGCTACCCCGGCCGGCCGGGACGAGCAGCTGTTGAAGCTGGGACACCAACGGTAGCTAATAATTCTCAGCTGGGGGTGGATTCTATTTCAGGAGACAGACAAATTCACAGCCAAGCGTGAGGCTGTCACCTCAGCCCGCTGCCCAGATGTCTCCTCGCTGGCTCACTGTGGCGGGAAAGCTCTGTGCTTGGAGCCCCTACAATCCAGACTGGCCCTGCAGATGCCCTGCTGGGAAGTACTGGGGTGTGTGTTGTGTGTTGTGTGTATGTGCGTGGTGTGTAGGTGTGTGTTGTGTGTATTGTGTTGTATGTGTTGTGTGTGGTATATATGTTGTGTGTTTCTGTGTGTGTTGTGTGTATGTCTGTGTGGTGTGTGTGTATCTGTTGTGTGTATATGTGTGTCATGTATGTGTGTTGTGCCTGTGTGTTGTGTGTGGTGTGTGTTGTGTGGTGTTGTGTGTGGTGTGTGTTGTGTGTGGTGTATGTGTTGTGTGTATGTGTGTTGTGTGTATTGTGTTGTGTGTTTCTATGTGTGTTGTATGTGTGTGGTGTATGTGTTGTGTGTATGTGTTGTGTATGTGTATTGTGCATGTGTATGGTGTGTGTTGTATGTGTGGTGTGAGTGGTGTATATGTTGTGTGTGTTGTGTGTTGTATGTTTGTGGTGTTTGTGTGGTGTATGTGTATGTTGTATATATGTGTTGTGTGTGTTATGCATATGTGTTGTATGTGGTTTGTGTTGTGTGTGGTGTCTAGTGTATCTGTTGTATGTGTTGTGTGTGGTATGTGTTGTGTGTTGTCTGTGTTTCTGTGTGTCGTGTGTGTTGTATGTCTGTGGTGTGTGTGGTGTATGTGTTGTGTGTATATGTGTGTTGTATGTTGTGCATATGAATTGCATGTGGTATTTGTGTTATGTATGTGTTAGTGTGGTGTGTGTGTTATGTGTGTTTCTGTTGTGTGTGTTGTGGGGGGCTGGGAGAGGCTGGCTCCAGTCTCCACAGGAAGGGGACCGAGGGCACTCCACCCACAGAGGGAAATGGTGGCGCCAGTCACAGAGATGAGTTCCCAATAACTTCACTGAAATCCAGGCTGGTAGGATGGGGAAGTCCCTGAGGCCATCTCTGCTCTTGCCTGGAGCTGAAGATCGAAGAGCCTTTGTCAGAATGAAGTGTACTGAAACTAGAGGTGCTAGGTGGACTCGAGCTCTGCAGGTAGCACGCTCAGGAAACAGAAGCAGGCATGAGTGCAAATTGTGCCCTGGGTTTTCTTAAGTATCAACGCAGAGCAGGGCTTCTGAACCAGAGGGTGATGGATGAGAGGCAGGACCCCTCAGCCAACAAGTCTTACTCTCTCTCTAACTGTTCACATCACCCTTTAGTTGGCTACTGTGTGGCTTTAAAGGGAAGGTTTGTTGTCGACACAGGCGGACACATCCAGGCCATGGTTACTGAGGAAGGCGGGACACAGTTTTGCTGGACGGGCAAAACTGACCCACACACCTCACAGCCCCTCAAGCATGTGCCAGAGGTCATTGCTGGGGTGAGCTGGGGAGGCTGGCCGGGCTAACAGCACACAGAAAGGCTCGGCTGAACTCTGTGGCTTTTGGTCGCCAATCTCCACCAGCAGCTGTGGCTGTGAATGATCCCCCAGGGAATTTATTCAAAACAACCTTTCCTTTCCTCAGACTACTCAGGGCAGGTGCCTCTAGGGGACAAGGCGGGTCTTATCCTGGTTAAAGTCTGAGGCCCAGCACTTCGCCCTGCAGGGAGACACTGTCCCTCTCCAGAAACACTAGCCCCTGACCCGTGGATATGTGGGGGGAGTGGAGGGGCTTTGGGGTGCAGGCATCCCTCTGAATGGGGGCTACTCCTGCATCACTCCTGCCTCAGAGACCAATGAGGGCTGAGGCCACCCCCCTGCTCTGCTGGAGGAAGTGGCACAGTCAGTACAAGGCCCCTGTCCCCCATGACGAGAACCCACACAGCATCTCTGCCCCTATTTGGACTCTTCTCTTCTAGAGGGAGATGGAAACCCTTGTGGATATTTTGTTTTTCTTTTTGGGTCACACCCGGCGATGCTCAGGGGTTACTCCTGGCTCTGCACTCAGGAATCACTCCTGGCGGTGCTCAGGGGACCATATGGAATGCCCGGGATTGAACCCAGATTGATGCCGTGCAAGGCAAACGCCCTACCCTCTATAGCTCTGCCCCCGCCCCCATCTGTGGGCTGGAGAGGGGGAAGGGAGAGAAGACTGAGGAGACCAGGGACTGGTGTGCTTCTGTCTGTGCTCTCACCTCAAGGCCGTGGCTCTCTCTCCTCTCCAGGTCCTTCCTCTCCTCTGGCCCTGAGGGTTTGCCGACTCAGCCAGGAGGGAGGCGTAAAGGGGTGAGCCACACTGCCCAGGCAGGGTTGTTTTCTCCCCGTGGGAGGAATGGGAGCTATCAGACCCCCGGCTCTGAGGGCATCACTGTCACTGTCACTGTCCTCACGCTGTTCATCGATTAGCTCGAGAGGGCCCAGTAACGTCTCCATTGTGACACTTGTTACTGTGTTTGGTATATCGAATACGACACGGGTAGCTTGCCAGGCTTTGCCGAGTGGGAGAGATACTCTCGGTAGCTTGCCTGGCTTTCTGAGAGGGGCAGAGGAATGGAACCCGGGTCAGCAGGGCCAGCTGCATGCAAGGCAAACGCCCTACCACTGTGCTATCACTCCAGCCCGGGAGGGCATCATCTGTACATTTCTCCCCTCCACACTCGCGATACAGCAGAAGGCGCAGAGTGAAGGCTGGCCCGTGTGGGGCTGTGTCCTCACCCTCCTACCGCTACTGGTGTTCCTGCCACCGCTGCCTCCCTCCCTCACTCCCTCACTCCTTGTGAATTTGCAGTGCCTCACCCCCACCCCAACTCAGGTCAGGAGGCCTTGGTTTCTGCTCTGAAAAGGGAGAACAGGGACCCATCCTGCCGGGGGAAACTCAAAATACCCGCCTGCAATGATGCCTTGGCCTTGAGGTGTCATCTCTGCGTGGAAGGAGCCTTCCTCATATTCTCTTCTTACGTGCTAATTGTAACAGAATGAGATTAAGTTAATTTAGAAGCAATAACCATGTGTGGCTGGGCCAGTAAAAGGCTAAAGCCGAGAAGCATTAAATTCCCAGGAAGTCTGGATTGGGGGGGGGGGGGGGGCTGAAGAAGGGGGGACCATGAGCTCTGCACTAAACAACTAACCCGGGGCTACGAACACCCAATGCTGTCTATTTGCTACAAGGCTGTAACCAGGTCCTGTTTCCTTGTATTTCACCAGAATGAGCGGGCAAAGATGCTTCGTTTAAATGACAGATAATGTAACCCACAGTTTGCCACACTTTGCATTGCCATCTGTCACTCCTGAATGCCGTTTTAGAGTACAAATGCAACGTCAGTTTTAACATCAGGGGTGCAACGGTTTAGAGGCCCACGATCCAACGCAATCCCAGGGCCCACTGCCATGAAGTCAACTTCTGCCCCACTCAGTGTCCTGGTATCTCATTATGATCATCATAACACTGTCACCTCCCGGGCGATGCTCCACAAATCTTGCTTGGGAGCAGGGGGGCCCAGGTTGCCAAGAAGGAGTATCCCCCCCACCCCCAGGAAAAGGCCAAAACTACTTCCGACCATGGCACCCTCCCCACACACTCCTTCCCCCACCCCCCCACCCCCGCAGGCAAGGTTACGCACAACAGTTCACACACCACATGTCCGAGCAGCACACAGCCCTGAAGAAGAGGCCTGTGTGTGTGCTTGTTTGTTTTAAACTGTGCTTTATTTAGGGCTAAGCTGGAGAAAGCGTCATCCAATAGTTACAGGTTACAAGGAGTTTTAGGGAGTTGAGTGTGAAAAGAGCAGTCGGACTGAACTGCAGCTTTGTGGTGGCGTCTTGGTGTTTTGTTTTTTTTTTTTGTTTTTGTTTTTTTTTTTTTTACAACATCTGGACATCCTAAAAGGAGGAGCCAAGAGAAAAGAAAAAGAAAAGTTAAAAAGTAATAATGAACCAAAAAAAAAAAAGAAAAATCAAACCAAAACAAAATAGAAAGAAAGGCAAGTCAGGAGGCCTGAGAGGAAGTCGAGTTTTTCTTGAGAAGCAAAAAAGATAAAGATGGCCCGAGAGTCCCAGCCTCCAGATGAAGTGACGTCCGTGAGAGGGCATCGGCCGAACGCCAAAGCAAGTCTTCCCAACGGTGAGGATAAATTATAATAAATATGTTATACTTTAAAATATATGTGTTCTTAAATAAGTCAGTGTTTTTTTTCTGATTCTGAGTTTTTTTTAAGCAATGTCTTTTTTTTAACTGCTCTAAAGTCATTTACCAAAGATAAATATCGTGCTTTCATTAAATAGTTTTCCTTGTTTTTTTCTCTATCATTACAATTAAAAGTCCTACAAAATATGCAAATTTATTTACAGAAAAACAGAGCCGGCATCATTTAAACATCCCTGTTTTTCAAAATTCCTTGTAAACAGTTTCAGAAATTCTTCAAAGATTGTTTGTTTGTTTTTCTCTCTCTTGTTTAAGGTTTTTGTGTGTGTGTGTGTTGTTTTGAGATGAAAGTTCCCAGGTCTCCCTTGCCCGGAAAGTCTCTGGAGCAAGCACGGAAGGCGAGAGAAGCGAAGGTGTCAGGGCTTGCAGAGCGGGCGCAGCTCCCGAGCGAAGCGAGGGTGGAGGCGGTGGCCCTTCCTGCGGCTGGACGGACGGACGGACGGACGGCGCGGCCTTACCAGGCAGGGGCGGCCAGGACCCCGCAGGTCTGGGCCAGTCCAGCCTGGCCCTCGGGGACGACGGCGTCCGACAACACTCGCAGGGAGAAGGGATTGATGCTCAGTCTAAACTCTACAAAAGTACAGTCCTACAACATCTGGGATTTTAGCAGTAACGCTAACTTCTATAGTTTTTTTTTTCCTTTTTATTTTTTATTTTTTTATTTTTTGCTTTCCTCTAATTTTTCTTCTATGATATAGGTATTTTAAACTTTTCCTTTTTAAAATTCTGTACAACTATTATGATTTTAAGAGGGGGAAAGAGAAGCATTTACAGACTTTTCACAACAATTATCTTGCCTCATAAGTCCTTTTGTTCCCCTCCTGTTTTCCTCCCACTTCACGGTTAGTGAGTTTTAATATTTTTGTTGCTTTCCCCAAATATCCACCAATTTGTTCATCCAACAGCTCCATCCAGACATATAATACAGAAAACCATAGGAAAGTGTCATAGACTTGAGTGAGGGTAATCAAAGCGCCTCTCAAAGTATCAAAGAACTATTATCTTGCTGTTTTAAAAGCATTGAAGCATTATTTTTTTTCCCTTTTTTCGTTTTTGTATTTTTTTGTTTTTTTTTAATTTTTTTAATTACATTTTATTTTCATAGAATCGCTCTAAGCTGTTCCAGGAACAGCCATAAGGCAGGAAGGAGGTTCTCCTCCGTCCCCCCTCTATTTGACATAGAGCTACACATCTGCAATAAAAAGTTTGGTCCTTTGGTCCCTAAATAGCTAAAGGAATGACAGATAGAGATGCTCCCGGCGGCCTCCCAGCCGCCCCCTGGGGACCAGGCCCCATCACACCGCTTGCCCCAGCCTGCCGCAGGCGCCCATGGGCTGCAGAGCCCCGGGGATCGGTAAGCAGCGTCTCTTCCCAGCTCCCAGTCCGTCAGCCTCCCCATCTGGTTGCAAGTTATTTTGTTTAAAAGTTGCCTTTTGTGTGTTGTTTTGTTTTGTTTTTCTCATTTTTCTTCTTCATCATCATCATCATCATCATCATCATCATCTTCTTCTTCTTCTTCTTCTTCTTTATGTCATATGTATTTTCCCCCCAAACACGTGCCCTCTGAACTCCGCAGACGCTATACTTTCCTTCAAGAAATGTTACAGTCACAGAGAGTGTCTGGAGTCTTCAGCTTGATTGATATTGGCTGATATGTCAAAGGTGTCATCCAACAGTTCTCATTTATAAATAGAGAGAGAGAGAGGTTTGATTTTTTTTAATGTAGCCCATTCAGCATCCTGCCCTAAAATGAAGAAAATCAGGGTAGATTAAGCCAAGAGAGGAAACACGAAAGGCATCCCAACACCAAAAGGCACCTGCCTCGGGCGGGGGTTGGGGGGGGTTGTGGGGCGGGGGTGGGGAGGGGAGAATCTCTGGGGGATGGTGGGAGGGAGGGGAGAGACCAGCATGAGAATTAGTCATGATCATGATGTGTCAAAAAGGAAATCGGCTCTTCTACTCCGCATTGGGAAGCCACTGGGAGCTCTCGCGTGGTGGTTGGGGCTGAGGCCAAGCTGTGGGGCAGAGGCGTCTGGACATGGGCTCCTTTGGAGTTCTGGGATCGAGGGCAGAATTTGGGACCATGGGGTCATCATTAAACTGATCTCTCAGGGAGCTAGCCCAGATACAATATGTATACAGAAGCCTAGCAAACAAGATAGGGGACAATCGAACAGCCCCACCCACTCCTCCCCCTGCTGGAGGCAAAAAAAGGACCACAGAGCCAAAACAGGAATTCTGCAAAATCTTTGCCCGTTCCCAGCCACCCACTTCCTCCCCGGGGCCAATAACTATTTGCGAGGCTATGTATATATATATGTATATCTGGATATATGTGTAGAATAGATTCACCTGCACATATGTGGATATACATGGATATGTGTGTATGTATATGCATAGATACACACATACACACACACGCACATAGTTTTCTCATACATGCCAGGGAATTTTAGAGGAAATTCAGAACTTCGAGGTACTGGATAGGAGAACCTAAAAGAAGTTAGAACGGGTTTCATTGTCAAACGGAAATTAACTCAGTTCTAGATTTTGTTTTGAATGGGGGGTGGGGGTGGGATTTTTTTGCTTGTTTTTTTTCGGGGGGGGAGGGTTGATGTTTTGTTTTTAAGGAAAAAAATCATGATCTGACTAGAATCAGAAGGAGAATGCTTAATCATTGTGAATTAACAAATGAGACTCATCTCCATTCTTGCAAGCAGCTTCCACTTATACATGGGGGTGACTGATTACATCAAGAAAGTTAGAACTGCAAAAGCCCCCGGCTGGCGGGGACAACGTCATGCGTATCAATCCATGCTGGCAGGTTTTTCACACTGTTGATTCAACAAACAGCAAACCGTACACAGCAGTCTAAACAATTACAACACCAAAGAAAATCATAATAAAATTAAAAAAACACTTGTCAAGGACCCTTTTTCAGTTGTAAACAAAAAGGTGCATTTTGCTTTTTTCAGAACTGTTTTGTTTTTTTTTCTCCCCAAACCAACCAAAAAGCCCCCCCAAGCCCCCAGCACCCCCACCTGCCCGCCCCACATTCAATTTAGCAGAAGTGGATATGATACAAACCTTATAATTGCTACTGGGCTCTCTTGCAGAGGCCTCTGGCTTTGTATTCTGTATTTTTTTTATTTAAAATTTTTAAAAAATCATTCTGGTACTGTAAGAAATTTGATTTTTTTTTAAAGTGAGATTGAAAATAGCCTAACTGGAAAAAGACCAGACCTAGAAAAGTGTCAATTGAAAAAGGCCCCCAAATTTCTAGAAAAAAATAAAATCACAATATTTTCAAGTGCAAGTAAAATCAACCACGCATAGATATTTTTAAGAGATTTTCCTTATTTTTTAAGAAAAAATAATAATGTTTTATACAGTTACATGATCCCAGGTTCAGTTAATTCAGGAATTCATTTTTACTTTTACTAATTTTTTTGTTTTTTTTTCTCTACGTGACATCTAGAGAAGCATTTAAAAAAAAAAAAAACGCTGAACAAGAAAAACCAAACAACAGAAAGTAAAACCACTGCAAGCACCAAGAACGAAACGAAAATGAGCACAGCAAAAAAGATCGTGGCAGCACAAAAGTCAAGAAAATGCACGTGTGATCATGACTGGCCGATCATCAACTGATACAACATCCAAGAAAAACGCTCCAATCACAGCACCTCCACGAAACTTGACGGCAATTGTCATGCAACCGATTCTTAGCCTTGTTACATGACGCCATCATGTCACACTGTGAACTTTGAGTTGATTTGAACTTACGGATGGGGGGACTGTTTTCTCCACTCTCATGTGATTACGTGAACTTTATTCCTAGCTCAGCGCGAGACTGTGGTGGATTTGACTGGCCCTGGTTGGGTTGTTGGAATTTGATTGAATGACAAAAGAAGAAAAGATTTATATATATATATTTATATATGTAGAGAGAGAGAGAGAGAGAGAGAAAGAGAGAGTGTGGGCAGGGGGGGAGGGGCAGGGGCACGTGGGGGAGGGGTCGGGGAGTGTCGGGGAGAAGGGTGGGCAGGGAGAGTGGGGTGCAGGGTGAAGAAGGACAAGGCAGAAGTTAAAAACAAAATTCAAAAAGGAAAAAATCGTTATACAGCACCAGACCACAGCATCAATCTAAAAGCTCTGATGAGAGAACAGCAGTCAAATCATAAGAGAACCGAAAAGGAACTCAAGGATGGAAGAAGCCGGCGGACAGCGGACGTGGGCACAGAACACGCACACACATACGCACACGGCTGTTTATGCAGACACGCACTACACTGTGAACAGCAGAACCTCGCGCGGGGCCACTAAGGGCATCCATCATGCGTTGGGAAGGGGAGGGGGGGCGCGGGAGGTCTGGCAGGGGGGGCCGGAAAAATGCAAGCAGCCCCCAAAAGCACCAGGGCTGGCTGCACACTGACCGGGGAGAGGGCGCTCTGCTTTATGTCACCCTGGATTCCTTCTGTCTCTGACCCCCCCCAACCCGCCAGCTCTCTCCTCACCTTCCTGGCCTGCTGTGGCTCAGGGCAGGGGGTGACAGTACCTACTGGGGTGGCACGAGGCAGCTACGGTGACCGCTATCTCCATGGGTGAACCCAGAAAATGCTCCCCTCTCATGGCACCAGTCCCCTCTGCCCCCAACCCTGTCCCTCGGGGGAGGGCCCACCAGATCCTTCCACTGGGCCTCAACCCTCCTCCCTTGGGGCCACGTGACACTGACAGCTTCCAAATTCAGGGTCAAGGTACCAAGGTCGGGAACTCCAAAGCCTGCGGGGGGGGGGGGGGGGGGGGGGGGAGGAGAAATAGGCTTCAGCCACACAACCCCTAACTTTGCTCCCTTGGGCGCCTGTAGTGCAGCCTCAAGAATGTCCTGTCGCTCTGGGGTGCCCTGGGGGGGGGGGGGTCACTCTGCAAAGGCCCTAGATCCCTGGCCTCTGCCACCCTGGGTCACTTCTGCTCTGCCTTCAGCCCCACACCCCTTCCCGGAGGGGCAGAGGCCACCTGAAGTCATAGCTAGTCCACTTTGAGTCGTCCTCAGTGCACCTCCTCCTGACGCGTCTTTGGCCCCACCCTTGGGATTTGTGGGTACCCCAGCCTAGGCTCCCCTGGAGCACCAGTGCCCGTGCTCCCCTGCCCCCCAGCTGTCTCCTTGGGGGAGCCCTGGCAGGAGGCCCGCGGGCAGACGCTGGAGCCTCTGCCCCACCCAGCCTGCAACTCTGCCTCCAGGGCCCTTCTGCCACGCCCAGCTGGGGGTCCCAGCTGGGGTTTCTGCACTGTGGACAACAGCTGCCCTCACCTAAGGGCCCCTCTACCCCGATCCCCAGCATTCCATAGGCATCCACTACGCCCCAACTGGGCACCTTGGTCCACTCCCGACCTGGCACCAGCTCTGGGCACTAGGTGCAACCGTCACAACCCCCTCCTGAAGCTGTCTGGGGAAGGACCCTCCTCTCACCCACAAGCTTGTCCTTGCCCCCAGACTCTCACGATCTCACCCTGGGGGCCTGGAGGTGCTGCTGGGTCTCTGCCAGCTGCAGGGGGCAGTGCCCACCATGCCACTCTCCCCCCTTCTCCCAGCCCACGCCCTTCCCTAGTTGGGGGGAGAGGGGGGATCATCCCTTCGGGTCTTACATGCCCATCTCCTCCTCGCTGTAGGCCCAACTGCCTCCACTTCTCAAGACATTCCTGGGGACTGGCTTGCAAAGACCCCCTTGTCTTAGCCTGCTCTCCTCCTCTCAAGGGTCTTTCTGGACTCGGAGCCCTCACACCTGAAACATGGGGTCCCCAACCAGAACTCAGGGCCAGGTAGGCTATGACGGCCATCATCCTCGAGAAACACAAAATGCCCAGAGCTCAGGTCCCGCAGGAGGAGCTGCCTACTCCCACCAGGCCACACCCCTGCCCCCTCCAGCCACTGAGGCGCCCTTGAAACACCCCCTCCGCCTGGAACTCCTCCCGGCCACAGCTGGTCCGTGTCCACCAGCTCATGGAGGAGCTGCAGCCGGGGACACTGAGGCATGATCACTCCGAAACACCAGGGTCAGGCATGCCGGGACTAGGCCAGCTGGGAAAGGTCCTGATGCTTGTGTCTCCCCAACTCCTCACGCCCTGGGTTCTCCCTCTCACTCTACACCCCCTGCTGCCTTCCCAACCTGTTCCCTTCCCCTGAAGATTGCCTTGTCTTGGCGCCTGCGCATTGCCTCCGGTGCCTCATACTGGACTGTGGCTTAAGATATTGCAGCAATTGTGCCAAAGTTTAAAAAGAAAAATCCTGTTCATCCTCTCCAGGCAGAGCTAAGGGGAACTGGAGGGGTGGCGAGGTTCTAAAGAGGTGCAGGGGGTCTCTGGACCGCAGGGGACCTGCAGGCAGGGAGGGGTGCTGGGGAGTAGGACCCTGTCCGCGGCTTACAACTCGCCTCCAACCCCAGCTCTGGCCATCTGCTCACCCCAAGGCTTTCTGGCCAACGGGCTGGCCATTGCAGACCAGGAGGCACAGGCCCAGAGTCACGGATCCCTCACTCCGCCAGGCCCCGAGGACCACAGCTTTGCGCCTGGCCCTGGCCAAGCCCTGGACAGAAGGAGCTGCTGGAGCCCGGCACAGCAGGTCCCGAACACTAGTGAGGGTCTAGATCAGGGTGCCCCGAGGAGGAGGAGGCGGCGGCGGGTCCGTCCAGCGTCCCCGCCCCAACGTCGCCCCCGGCCCCCTACCACCACCCATGCCCAAGCCCCGTCCACCCTCGTTACCTGTGTGAGTCCTGGTCTCCCCCGGGGGACGCCCCCGGCGCTCAGTACGGGCGATTGGCGTCTTTGGGCCGCTTCAGCTGCACCTTGAGCCTCTTCATGCCGATCTGGAAGCCGTTCATGGCCTGGATGGCGGTCTGCGCGCTGGCCGGGTTGTCGAAGCTCACGAAGCCTGGAGAGACACGAGGGGACGCGGGCCTGGGTTTCCACGGGGCCGCCCCGGCGGGGAGCAACCGGGGGCGGGGCGCGCCGAGGCCCCGCCCCGCGCACCCGCCGCGCCCCCGGACAGGAGGCGGGGCCTCGAGGCTCCTCCCCCGTCTGGCCCCGCCCCCGGCCGCGCGCCTCCGGGCGGGGGTGGGGCCCCGAGGCTCCACCCCTATCAGGCCCCGCCCCCGGCCGCGCGCCCCAACCCCAGCCCGCCCGCGCGCCCCTCCCGGGCGGGGACGTGGCGGAGGCTCCGGGTCTCCCCCGCTGCCCGGCCACACCTCGGCTGCAGGCGGTGCCAAGTCCCCCAGCGGGGCTCCGGGCGGCGCCCGCCCCCCCCCACCCCGGCCGGCCCCTGCACGGAGGCCCTCTCCTGGGCGGGAGCGGGCGGACACACCTGCGGGCGGAGGAGTTTATTGGACACTGTCCTCCCTGACAGGAGGGGGCCTGGCAGCGCGAGGGCACGGGGTGCCGGCCTGGGGAGGGGAGAGAGAGGAATGCGAGGGGACGGGAGGGGAGGCCCCACGGAGAAACGCCGCCGCCGCCGTTGCCGCCGGCCACCCCCCCACGGCCCCCGACCTCGCGGCCCCTCCGCCCCCCTCCAGCCGGGGCCCCGGGTGGGCGCCAATCCAGAGAGACTCGCAGGAACTCCAGCCCCCACTCTACCCCCACCCCCACCACGACCCCCCCCCCGGAGCCCCTCCCCGGCGCGGCGCTGGAATGCCAGGCCCAGGGGGCCGCACTCAGCGCGCACCGCGCTGCCAAACCCATGCACTCGGCGAGCGCCTTCTCCAAGTACCATGGACAGCAGAAAGCGCTCCCTTCCTTTCGCCCCAAGCTCTGAGAGCATCCCAGCCTTGCAGCGAATCTGACTGGCTCTCCCTCTTCTAAGTCCTGCCAGTCTAACGCTGAGGTGGATTCGGTGGGAGGGGGGTACAGAGCCCTCGGCGGGGCCCAGCCACGCTCCCGGAGAAGGGTCAGGTTCCCCTGACGGGGTCTGGGAACTCGGACTACCTCTCCTTATAGAGGCTGAACCTCACACCAGTGGTTCCTCGACTGCTCCTTGAAAAGGGGGCTTCTGTGGTCACGCAGGGGTAAGAGGGGTAGGGTCAGCCCCACTCCCACGGCTAAAAGCACAGTCTCACACAAAAAAAATAATAGTAATGCACCTCCCCCAGGTTCCTCAGTAAACAAATCTTTGTAGTTTTGTTTAACCTAGACTTTCCTGGAATTCATCTGACTTGGGAAGCCTCTTTCCTCTATAAAATGGTGTGAATTCCTGCAAAAAGACACAAAACTCAGCTTGGCAAGGTTCCCGGGGGCCATCCTGCAAACAAGCCTTATTTGCGGTGCTTGTCCCCAAAATGGCCATTCATACACAAGGGACAGAGGTACAGACTCCACGAAAGCGGAAGCTGTTTTCTTGGTCAAGTGTCATGTGCCCTGTCCCTCACTCTCCCCATGTGGTGGCTATTGGCCAAATGACCTGCCTGCCCTGCGGCTTAGCCATTGCCTCCCTCTGGCTCTGGGCTTCTTTCCTCTGAACCCAGTGCAGGAGCAAAGTGCCCAGGCCAGGGCACACATTCCCTGCCTCTGTACTCATCAGGTGCCACACTGCGGCGGGGGGAGAGGGGTTGGGACTGTCCTTGGGAGACAGATGTGCATGGGTCATCCTTCCATCCCCTCTCAACCTCTCCTGTCCTCTCCTTCCCCATGGATCAAGTTCACAGGCAGTGGGGGTTTCCAGAGAGGGGAACCGTGTTGTCTGTTACACCGGTCTCCCCAGAGGAAGGTGGGGTGGGTTGAACTAGGCTCTCTTCCTGCTAAGCCCCTGTCTGACAGGAAACATTTAACTGAGGGGATGGGTGAAAAAGAAAAGGAGCTAGAGGCACTGTGTGTGAGAAAGAATGGGCCTCGGATACCAAGCAGGGTGCAGGGGAGCAGGCCTGGAGGAGGAAGTGTCTGTGGGCAAGTCCAGTCTCCAGAAAGCCCTGGGCGCTGGCAAGGACCCAGGCTCTGGGGCCCTGTCCCTCCTAGCTAGCTGAGTAGCTGGTGCAGGGGGCTCTCCTAGGCGTCATTCCCCATGTTTACCTTTCCCAGGAATGCCACCCTGGAGAAAGGTGAGCAAGTCCCCGACCTAGCACTCTCCCCCTGACAGCAGCCCTGTGTGTGGGAGGTACCTCAGCAAGAAGACTGAGACTCGGTTCCCTTTCACACAGGGACCTGTAGATGGCCACGCACCCCCTTCTCTTGTGAATAAGGGGGACAATGGCACTTCCTCCTCAGGGCCCAGTTGGGCCAAGTCCCTCCCAAGCACCAGCTGGTGTGATCCCCCCCCCACACACAGCAGCCCTCAAAAGAAGGATGACAGCTGATGCACCCTCTTCAGGCTGACAGAAGGACACTGAGGCCTGGAGTGTGCCCAGGAGTGAGTGGGGGAAGCTGGTTTTCACCACCAGGCCTCTAGGAGAGTGAACAAGGCCGGGAGATAAGGCTGGGGAGCCTGAGCAGGCATGGATCCTGCCTTTCGGGGAGGGGGGGGGGGAACCAGCAGGTGACTCACTAGACGTGTGTTCTGGAAGAGCCCGAGTGGGCGGGAACAGGGGGTGGTTTCGAGACACAGAAGGGCCATGCCTTTCCCCACCTCGAGAACTGAAACTAGCTCCGGGATGGGGTGAGTCTGGCCAACTCTGGAGCCTCCTATGCCAGGGGCGGCAGGGATGCAGCAGGACATGGCCATGGCTGGTGTAGGGGGGGGGGGGGCTTGCTGGGGGTGCAGGCAGCTTCTAGTGTGTGTGAAGACCCGGGGGCCCTGCACAGAGCAGACACAGCTGATGCTGTGTTCTCACATACACCGCTAACTGGGCACGGGGGCAGAGCTCGGCCTTTGGCTTTGCTGTCCCCTACCTAAGGAGACATCTGTCGCTCGGGTGACTTGCTGCCTGGAAGGTGCTCAGGGTCGTGGAGGGTGGTTCTCCAAACCAAGAACCTCCTTCACATGTACTCTGGAGGCCTCACCCCAACAGCGCCTCCAAGTGGTGACCTGGACAAGGGAGGCACCTGTTCTTTGCCTGCGGGCACTGTGTGGCTGACAGATTCGGGTGGGGGGAGGGTCTCCATGGGGGTTCTCTGGGGACTTCAGATGGAGGCCGGAGAGGAAGTGGGAAAGGTGAGAGGAAGTGAAGTGGGTTTCCAGGAGGTGGGAAGCCAACCAGAACCCAGGGGTCCAGCGGAACAGGGACTTCAGATAAACGAGGAATAGCTTTTCAGTATGAGTATATCCCAAATCTTGCACCAAACATTCGGGACATACTTACACCAGGAACGCACCCGCGGTTCGCCAGAACTCCTCATCCAACTGTGATTATGACAGGGTCTGACAGCTGTCTCATCTCCTCCCTAGTCCCCTCTCCCTGCCTAGAAGTGTCCTCAGGGGGACCCTCCCACACAGACACCCCGCCCCCCTCACCGCTGGGCTTTTCTCAACTCCCCTCTCTCCTGCCTCATCACTCGCGGACCATGGCCTGTCTCCCCCCAGACCCCCCTAGCCCTGTCCACTGTCCCTTCCTGCCCCGTCCCCACACGGCCGCCTGCCTCCCTCGCGCTCACTCTCGGGGCCTGGCAGACCTGCTCTGCAGGGCAGCTTGTTTCGCAGCTGAGTTGGGGCTGAGCCTTCCTGAGGACCGGCTTCCTCTTTCTGACTCCTCACCAAGGTGACTCTGGTGGCCTGAGGGGGTGGAGAGGGAGGGAGGGTTCTTTGGATGGCAGCGGGAGGGGAGCAGAGGGAGTGGGGAGGACAGAGAAGGGGCCAAGGGGAGGGGCGCAGGGCTGAGAGGTGGGTAGAGAAGCGGGGAGGGGGGGCGGGCGGGGGGACAGGCGGGTGGGAAAGGGGCCTGGGCGGGGCTTGGAGCGAGCACTCTGCTCGGGAGAAAAGAGAGCCCTGGGAGGATGGGTGTGGCTGAGCTGCTCCCTGTCCCCGCCACCCTGCCAGGGCCAACCCCACCCCCCCTCCTTCTCCTTCTGGGGAGAGGAACCTCACCCTGGGCTGGGAGGTGGGCAGGTGGGAAGCAGGTGGAGTGGAAAGGGACCGCTAAGAAGCCAAAGCACAGTGGGAGTGAGAAGGGGCGAGGAGGAGGAGGAGGAGGAGGGTGGGCGGGGCCCTCGGGAGCTCCCGGGTGGGGAAGGGAGGGGGCGATGAGAGGGGGCCGAGGAAAAGCAGCTGGACACTGGACACTGGTAAACTGGTGCCAAATCCGCCCTGTCCTAGGTGAAGCTAGTTGGTGTGTTATCTTTACCCACCAAAGCATCTACTTTGGTTAGTCGCCCGATCCACAAACACTTTCGAGGAGATGACATTACCGAAAGGGAGGAACATCTGCATCAGCTCAGCGTCCCCAAACTCCTGGGGCAGATGGTAGATGAACAGGTTACAGCCCTCGGGCCCTGCGGTGAGGGGAGGGGGTGGGACGGGGAGGGGGGAGGGATGGCGGGGGGAGGGGGGAGAGAGAGACAGAGGAGAGGTGAGCGAGTTAGGCAGCAGCAGCAGGGGAGGGTGGGGGCGAGGTTAGGAGGGGAGGGGGGTCCTCATCCAAGATCCAAGGCGGCCACCACCAGAGAGGGGGCGCCACTGAGCCCTGCCTTTGGGGCAAGTCACTGAACCTCTCTGTGCCTCGGGTGCCTTTTCTGCAAAAGGGGTCTGCCGGGGGGTGCCTCGCCATGCTGGGAATGGAGCTGATGAGTGAGGAGGGGGAAGCCAGGCTCGGTAGTGCCGTGGAAATGAGGTGCCCCCCTCCTGCCCCTGGTGAGAAGCTTCCTCGCAGGCTAGGCCCACCCTCCTCCCTGGCCTGCAGCCCCATCCGGTCCCCTGTGGCCTCACTCTCCCCGGCCCTGAACCTCACACTCGGCCCAGCTCTTGAAGGCAGACGCCAAGGTTCACCCTCCGACAGGTACGCGAAGAGGGGGCTCTGCAGAGGGCTCAGCCATCAGCCAGGACACTGGCCCAGCCCATGCCGGGAGAGCCTCCCCATGGTGCGACGCCCAGGACGGCTGTCACCCGCCACTTGACAGACCCAGAGAGGCTAGGTCACCTGCCTAAAGTCACACACCGAATGGGGCCGGGGTGGGGGTGGGGGGAACGGGGCCAGGCTGCGACCCCAGGTCCCCTGCCTCCAGCTCTCTACCAGCCATCACTGCCCCCGTACCCCCAACGCTGCTGGGAAACGGGAGTTTCTAGACTCCCCAAGAGCGAGTGTTTACATTTTTCTCCGCTAAAGACCGAGATGCTTCATTTCAACTCTAAGAGGTTTCAACTCTGAGAGGGAAATCTGTCTGAGACACAGGTCTCTTTCCTGCTACCTCAGACTGCGGCACAGGGCCTCAGACCCACATAAGCGTGGTCATGCCAGTAGCGGTTTCTGTCTGGGGGTGGGGGGGCGGGGGCACCAGGGGAAATTACTCCTCAGAGGCTGTGAGAAGTGAAGGAGCTCCAAGAAAGACGGCTGGGAGGCCCAGCTGCCCGCCTGTGCGCCTTAAGGCTTCTTTGGCCGGGCCCCTGCCGGCTCCCCGGGTCCGGAGCAAAGGGCTTGCTCTGCGTTCCCTGCCTTTCTTTCCTCTCCTCCTTACCCCATATCTACCTCCAGCCCCGGTTCACAGCCCCAGCCGAGACTCTGCCGACCAACAAAGCCAGCCTGTGCGCCCCATCCCCGCTCAAGCTCTGCGTCTAGGGCCGCTGGCCTATCCCATTGCCCCTTGCTGGTCCCAGGCCCACTGCCAGTTGACGGCGGCGCGTTGAGAACCGGCGCAAGCACGCTCACTCACCCACTCCCGGGGTTCCCACTACTGGACCCCCCCCCCAAGTTCTGGTGACCCTTCCCTCTCCAGGCCACTCCAACCGGCCATGTTCCCTGGGGCCATGCTCTGGGAATGTGACCCTAACTAGATGTGACCCTAACTACATCTGTCCCCACGAAGCCCCCCTCTGCCCTGATTCTCCTAAGCCCCTCTCCCAAAGGTGCTCCCATGTCTGTTCCTCAAACTCTGGGTGTGAGGCACCTGCTTTCATTTCCAGCTGGGCTGGACAGACTCCATCAGCACCCTCCGCTGCCCACCCACCTGCCTCACCTACCCCAGGCTGTGCCTGCTTTGAACTTGGGGCCCTGTTCCAAGATCAAGTTCTTCGTCTGCTCTGAAGGCATGACAGCCCCGAGGGCAGCATCTGCCGCATCCCGTGAGAGAGGCATCCCAGACCTGGCCTAGCCCTGCTCCCCTAACCCCAACAGTGAGGGAGGCTGCGTGTCATCTCCCTCTGACTCCCAAGACCCGGCCACACCCCTGCCTTTGCAGATCACAGCTCCCACCCAGCCTCCGGAGGAGAAGGTGACCCGGAGCTGGAGGCCCGCGGCCTCCCTGGGCCCCAAGGACACTGAAAGGTGGGCCTTATGGTCAGGGGGCACAGCAAACCTCAGGCTGTCATGCCATGAGGCCCAGCTCAGAGAACAGAGAGGGACCTTGAGCCCAGCGGCCAGCTCTGGGGTTCCCACAGGCAGTACCCGGGGAGAAGGCCCTGCGTGAAAGAATCCGGCCTTCCGTGCCGGCTGTGCTTGGCCAGGCACCCACCACCTGTCAGTCCTCCAGGCCCAGGTTCACCTCCTGCCGGATGGAACCTGCCTCTGCTCTGCCCCCGGCCACACCCACCGCCCCCTCTCTAAGTTCGGAGAGCCCCTCTCCTCCTGCAGAGCCCCCCCAGCCTTCCTGGGAACCCCCTGCCGGCACGTCCTCCCCCCTCGCGTGTGCTATGGCATTGTAGGCATCTCAGCCGACGGTCACCCCACCCAGGCCCTCTTCCCCAGGTGGCTTGTCCACATGGGTGCTGCAGTCAGGGACCATGGGGGGCACCCGTGGGAGACATTCCAGGGTCTGGTCTAGAAGGAGGCACATAGGGGGGTGGGGGATGGGGGGTGGAGTGGGGGAAGGACTGAAGCAGCTAGCTCAGAGGGCAGAAGGGCTGAGGAGGAGTCAGAGCAGGACAAGGGGGACGGAACGGTGTGAGGAGGGAGATGTGGGGAGGAGCATAGGGAACGGCGTTGAAGGCTAGTGGTAGGGCCGGTCTTGTGTGTTCACTGAAGCAGCACTGACCTGGAGGATGGGTGTGTGTGTGTGCGATATGTGATGTGTGTGGCAGGGATAAGAGCCCTGAGTGAGTGTGTGTGTGTGTGTGTGTGTGTTATATGTGTGGTAGGGCTAAGAGCCCTCAGTGTGTGTGGCAGGGCTGAGAGCTCTGAGTGTGTGTGTGTGTGTGTGTGTGTGTGTGTGTGTGTGTGTGTATGTATGTATGTTTATATGGCAGGCCTGTATGTACCTGTGTGTATATGTGTGTGTATGTGTATGTGGCAGGGCTAAGAGCCCTCAGTGTGTGTGTGTGTGTGTGTGTGTCAGGGCTGAGAACTCAGAGTGTGTGTGTGTGGGGGGGCAGGGTTGAGAGCTCTGAGTGTGTATGTGCATGTATGTGGCAGGGCTGAGAGCCCTCACTCTGTGTGTGTGATATGTATGTGGCAGGGTTAAGAGCCCTCAGTGTGTGTGTGTATATGTATGTGTCAGGGCTGAGAGCTCTGTGTGTATGTGTGTGTGTGTATGTGGCAGGGCTAGCTAAGAGCCTTGATTGTGTGTGTGTGTATATGTATGGCAGGGCTGAGAGCCTGTTTGTGTGTATGTGATATGTGTGTGGCAGGGCTAAGAGCCCTCAGTATGTATGTGTGTGTGTGTATGTGGCAGGGCTAAGAGCCCTGAGTGTGTGTGTGTGTGTGTGTATATGGTAGGGCTGAGAGCACTGAGTGTGTGTGTGTGTGTGTGTGTGTGTGTGTGTGTGGCAGGGTTGAGGACTTTGTGAGGGGGCAAGGGGCAGGGCTAAGAGCTCTGAGTATGTGGGGGGGGGCAGGGTTAAGAGTTCTATGTGTGTGTGTGTGTGTGTGTGTGTGTGTGTGTTTCTGTGAGTTTGTGTCAAGGCTGAGTGCCCTGATCCCACAGACCCGAGTGATTCAGAGTGCTTAGAATTAGTGTTATCAGCCGGAAGCCCAATGGAATGTTGGGGAGCAGGTTCCAACAGCTGCAAGGCATTGCTCGTGGGGGCCCTGAATTCAAACCCTGGCACTGTGTGGCCTGCAAGTGGCATCCCCACTTGCAGAAATGCAGAAAGGAGGAAGGACTTGTGGGTGTTGCTCAACTGGGCCTAGGACAGACTCCCGGGGACTCCACACCCCAGACCTTGGGGTGCTGTGTGCCCCTTCTGGGCTCCTCCCAGATCTCAGGAGCTGCCCAGTGCAAGTGAAGGGGCTCAGACTGCCTCTGGGACAGGTGCCAAGTTAGTAAATGAGGGTCATACGCATGGCGTGAAACCCATAGGCGGGGCACACCTGAGCCCGCGTGGTCCTCCCAGGTTTCTGGGGAAGGTGCCAACGGCCTCACCTCACAAGCGAGGACACCAAGGCCAGGGAGGAGACAGAGGGCTTAAGCATCAGGCCCAGAAGAACTTGTTTGGCCAGGTCATCGGCACCGGTCCAGCCCGCTGACCTCTAGGGTTCTGTCCTCAACTGAACGACCTCACTGACACAGGAGGGTCAGGCACAGCTCTCTGGAGACCCCTGGCGCCCCTCAAAACAAGCTCTCTGTGGGCAGACCATGAATCCCCCCCAAGGTGAGCTGGCCTGGCCAGTGCCTGAGGATCTCTGGGCTCGGACTGGGGGTGCCATGAAGGCCTTCCTGAGTACCACTGGTCTGAGACTACTGGCCTGCCCTGCCCTATTCACATCAGGCCCCCAGCCATGGCTTCGCGTGCCCTTCTTCTACTAGGCCGCTCTGGGGCAGCCCCCGCACTCAGCCCTGCCCCGGGACCACTGTGTCTTCCTGTCCATGAGGAGCTGGTCTTGCTGCCTCCCAGCCAAAAGCATGCCTCCTCCCTTCTCTCTGCATCGGCCAAATCTTATCCATGCAAGTGGGGGAAGTCCTCAGGACCCACCTCTTCCAGGCCCCTCTGCCCCGGCTTGGCTCTGCAGAGCTCCAGGCTAGGAGTGCACTCAGGACCCTGCCATCTTCCCTCACCCTCGGCACAGCTCCCCAGGGTGGTCGCTTCCCCCAGGCCACCGCCCACCCCAGGCCCAGGAGAGCAGCTCCGTGAGGAGAGAGGGGGGGTGGGGAGGGGCGTGGGCGCCCCCCCGGCTCGCAGACTCACCTTCTCTCTGTTGCTGGGGGATCATTGGAGGCGGCTGAGGGAAGGCCTGGCTTATCTGACCATAGGCAGCAGGGTAGGCGGCGGCTGGAGGGCCAAAGAGAAGAGGCAAGAGCGAGAGACGGCGACAGCCACGCGGAGAGGGACACGGTGAGAGGCAGGAAGAAAGAGAGAACTGTCAGTGTGCGGCAGGAAAAGCAGAAACAGTCAACAGCGCGGAGCCACTCAGTGCTATAGCACAAGCCGGATTGCAACAGCAGAGCAGTGAAGGAAAGGCACACACACTGTGTGTGTGAAGGAAAAGCACCCAGTGAAGATGAAGTGTGTAACAGTGAGCGGAAAAGCACAGTGAAGATGTGTGCATGTGTGTGCATGTGTGTACATGTGTGGATGTGTGTGTGTGTCTGTGTGTGTGTAAAACAGTGAAGGAAAAGCACCCAGTGAAGATGAGGCGTGTAACAGTAAGAGGAAAAGCACAGTGAAGATGTGTGTGTGTGCATGTATGTACATGTGTGCATGTGTGCGTGTGTGCGTGTGCGTGTGTGTGTGTGTTTAATCTGAAACAATAGGCTGAGCAGGTGTGTGACTAATACCAGGTCACTAAAAACATCGGCGGCCCCGGCCAGGACGCCGAAGGCACTGGGAAGCTCCGCTCCCTTCTTTCTGAGGCTCGCTGGCTGGCTCGCTGGCCCTCACTCGCACTTGGCTGGTACAGGGTGGGAGGAAGGGAGTCACCAAGTGGTGGGCTGGTCCTGGGGATCCTGCCAGCGGGACGGCTGCAGGGACAGACGGCTGAGCTGGCATGTTCTGTGTACAACTGGGAAGGGTCAGAGGTGGGACAGGGCCCCCTTCTGGGTCTGACCCACTCCCCAGGGATCAAGCGGGCGGCAGGGGTGGGGGGGAGGGACATTCTTCAGCTTCGGGGGCCAGGGAGACAGCGATGGTCTTTGCGAACAGAGAGGAGAACGGAGACGACAGTGGCCAGCAGGGCCGTGATGGGCATTGGTGTGAACATCTGTGTGTCCCCCCTCTCTGGATGTTGCTTGTCACCAAGCTATGGATGTGTGCCCATCACCAACGGATGTGTGCGTGTCGCCCAGCTAGGCACGTGTGCGTGTGTTACGGATGTGTGTTTCCTCGAGCCTAGCAGAGGAAGAAGGCGGCAGCGTGGCTGAAAGCCTGCGGGGCTCCCTCCTTCCCTCTGTGACCAGGGCCATCTGCTGCCTCCACACTGCCTTTCCTGCCCCCGTTCCCCGCCCACGCGCTCCCATCACCCCAGCCATGCGTGGCGGAAACTGTTTCCCCTCCTGGGTTTTCTCCACACCCCACCCTGGGCTTTTGTGCTGCCCAGACAGACAGGGGACTGGGGCCTGCACGGGGCAGCACCCCAGGTCTGACTGCACCATGGGGCTGAGTGGGCTGATGCCCCCCAGGCCCTGGGAGACCCCTGGGGAGGGGAAACCCCGGCCTCAAAATGCAGAACTGCAGGGTGAGCACCGAGCTCAGTTGGCCTGGCTGACCACCCCCACCCCCAGGGCCCGGGGCCTCAGCACAAGAGACCTGCAGAGATGCTGCAATGGGTGGAGCCCCTCCCCCCCGGCCCTCCCCCTGTCCCCTGTCCCCTGTCCCCTGCCCCCTGTCCCGGAGGGACCCGCGGGTACTAACGACCTGCATACTGCTGCACTCCAGCGTAGGCCTGCTGCAGGGGGTCCGCCGCGGTGGGGCTCTGCGCTGCAGGGGAGCCAACGGGGCAGAGGTCAGTGGTGCCCACCTGAACCGGCCCCCCCTCCCGACCCCCGTGACCACAGGAAGGCCACCGTGCTGAAGACCTGAGACTCGTCTCTAGGTGCTTGGACCCTCCCAGGGATCCCCCATTCTCTAGTCAGGCCAGGGAAGAAAGGTGCCTCCCCCCCAGATGGGAGGTATGGGGTGAGACTCATCGGGGCTAGGAAGAGCTGGGAAGTCCACAGGGAGGGCCTTAGGGAGGGTGCAGGGAAGCTGAGGCAGCAGGAGAGTGGTCTTCCCCTCATCCATCGCCAGAAATCAGGGACAGATCCAAACTGGGTGTGAGAAAGACCCTCACTGGTCCTCACAGCACCCACCCCGCTCTAATCCCTGCTCAAAGAGAGGGACCCCTTCCTCTTTAGGGAGATTAACATGGGACTTGGGGGTCTACTGCATCCAGCCGGGACATACTGGAGACACTCTGGGCAATAGAACGAGGCCGGCCGGGGGGGGGGGGGGTGGTGGGGTGGGAGAGGAGGGGGAGGTAGAGAGACAGAAGGCGGCCAAGACAAGTCGGCCGCCTTTGCTGTGGGCACAGGTCTGGAGCCAGGACCCATGGAGGGCACCACCTCTGATGGCCAAAGGCCAGAGAAACTGGACTAGCTCTGAAGACACATCTGCCTTTGGAGGGTAGACTGGACAAGCAGGGCATCACGAGAACTGCCAGGGTCCATCTGCCTCATGGGATGGGCCGGCCCTCTGCAGAGCCGAGCCAGGAGGCTAAGAGACCAGGAAAAATTCCCACACTGCAACGAGTGCTCAGCCAGGTTCAGTAAGGTACCACTGAACAACGGCCCCTGGATCTCAGAGCAGCCAGGGGATATGCAGAGGCACAGGCCACGCGAGACAGCCAGAATCAGGAGCAGGGAAGACGGGCCCAGGGGGCATGGCTCAAAGTGGGCAACTGCAGAGCAGAGAGCACTGGCCATGGAGCAGGTCACTTTCTGCCAGGACTCTGCAGGACAAGAGCCCGGGTGCCCAGCAGGGAGTGGGGTGCTGGGCGGGTGACCTGCCTCTCTCTGCTGCCTCCGTTCTCCTAACCCCTCCACCATCAGACTCCAGATGGAGAGCCCTGTCCAGCTGCCCTCTTGGCTCTCCTGGTTGCATAGTCGTCTCAGGCCTTGGCACAAATCAGAAAAAGGTATCTCGTGCTCTGGGCACAGTCTGCTGCCCGGTGCCAACTGTCCCCCACATGCCCAACACAGTGCCCAGCAAGCATTGCACCATCAGGAGTGTGGGAGGAAGTGGCCTGAACAGCTCTGCAAGGGTCTCACGTGACCCTCGCGGCCACACTGTGTGCTGGACCCGATCCCATGCACCTGGGGGAGAAGAGAGAAGCGTCCTGGGGGGCTTGGGAGTGGAGAGAACCCTTCCGGAGACCCCTCTCGACTTCCCTGCTTAATGACCTCATTAGTAACTGCCAGAGAGTGAACATTTTGAAGGATCTCGCTCATTACGGCAGCTCCAAACTCCGCATTTAAAGATGGTAAATTAATTTTTTTTAATGTACTACTTTTCTCCTTTCCTCCCCCTCCCTCCCTCCCTCCTTCCCTCCCTCCCTCCTGCTCTGGCAGGGAATTGTTTATGAGATGTGGCAGATTGTTACAAATGGGGGGAGCGAAACATTTCCAAATTCCGAGAGGGAAATAGTTCACAGATGCTAGTGGGGGTGGGAAAGGAACAGGTTTGTCAAAATCCAGAGCTCCAGATGGGCTTGTGGGCAGGAAAGGGCTGGGGTGGGTGGAGGGGGGAGTGCAGGGGGGAATGAAACCACCCAGATGTGCCCGGGACTCTATCTCCCAGCGCAGGAGGCTGGCGGGGAGGAGCCCTGGACCAGAGAATGCCGGGGTCTCTCCCACCTCCAGCCTGCCAAGTCCCTCCCCTGCCTCCAGGGTCCATTGCCCCTCTGGAGGGCTTCATCCTTCCACCCCAGATGCTCAGGGCCTCTCTGAGGGGTGAGCTGTGGGGTGAGCCAGGGGACAAGGGCAAGCAGCACCCCACAATCAACATCAGGAGCTTGCCCTCTGGAGGTCTCTGCTCCTGGTGGGGCTGGGGGGTCCTCCTCACCTCTGGGACTCTCTACAGACCCTGTGGTCAGACTCCTGTGGTTTACAAAACCTGGGAGCACTCTGATAAGCCCCGGTGGAGAGCACGGCTCTAGCTGAGTGGGCGGGTTGGCCACCTTATCCTCCCTACCCCACCAGGCAGGTCCCTCTTTTCTTGTGCTCTGCCCCCCACCATCAGCCCCGCCTTTCCACTGCCTCCCCCAGTAAGTCTCATGAGAGGCTCCACCTCGAGCATGTCCAGCCTCCCTGCCGTGGCCTGAGTGTGGGCAGCCTTTGTCCTTACCGCGCATCCTACCCTTGTGTGTGCATCCTATCCTTGTGTGCTCTGGCTTCCGGGAGGAGAGGCCTATGTCCACTCTCCAGGAGCCTGGCCACTTCCTCGTGCTGACGGGGACTCTGTCATTGCACCATGTGCCCGCTGAGGAGGACGGTTTTCTCCATTCCCCCTTACTCGGGTGCTTTGTATGGGCCTCAGGTGCTGAACTGTCTGTCCTTCCTTCCTCCAATGAGAGACTCTTCGTCCAGTCACCCTGACGACCTCGCCAAAGAGCAGGGCTAACCCTCAGTGACCCGGGGTGAATCAGGGCTGGCTCTAGTTCAGGGGTTACTTGGGTGACTTTCCTGAACCAAGGTGTGTCAGCCAACAGGCTTCCTGCTTCCTCCAGCAGAGCTAGGAAGCCCCGACACTGTCCGTGGTGCTGAGCAAGACTGTGACACCAAGGGACCTGCTTGGTTCCTGCCTCACTGAAAGAACATCTCTTCCTGGGTCTTTTCTCCTTAGCTCTCCACCGGACTACCTCTTTAGCGTCAATGTCTTCACCTCTGATGGGTCGAACTCACACTCAATTCACTTGTAATGGGGCCAGAGCGACATTACAGTGGGTTGGGTATTTGCGTAGCATGCAGCAGACCTGGGTTCAATCCCTAGCATCCCATATGGTTCCCTGAGCACCACCAGGAGTAATCCCTGAGTGCATGAGCCAGGAGTAACCCCTGGGTGTTATGTTGCTGGGTGTAGCCAAAAAAGCCAAAAAAATGAAAAATGGAAAAAGAAATTCACTTGTAGTTATTGGGCTGGAACGATAGCACAGCAGGTAGGGTGTTTGCCTTGCATGCGGCCGACCTGGCCAACCCCGGATCAATTCCTCCACCCCTCTTGGAGAACCCGACAAGCTACCAAGAGTATCTCGCCCACACGGCAAAGTCTAGTAAGCTACCTGTGACGTTTTCAATGTGCCAAACACAGTAACAACGAGTCTCACAGTGGAGACGTTACTGGGACCACTTGAGCAAATCAATAAACAACAGGAGGACAGTGTTACAGTGCTATTTGTAGTTACTATCTTCTGCCTGGTTGTATAACTGCTTGACTGCTCCCGAGGGGGCCGTAGGATTGGGACCCTTTCTCTCCTGACAGAATGACCCCTCCCCAAAGACGGGAATTTAGTCTCCTCTATGGCATCAGGGAGGCCAGGAGGATGGTTTTCCCTGCTCACATTATGGGTCCTATCGAGTCACAGAGGGCCACACTACACATTTCCAGCTGAAATAGCAAGGGCAGGAGCAGAATGGACTGAGGAAGGGCCGCCTAATGTGCTTACCTGGGTAGGGGTGGATGCCATTGGCAAACACAGCTTCTGCGGCAGGTTGCCCGTTGGCCTGCGGGGGGAGGCCAGTGAAGCCGTTCACCCCAATGGGGGACGGGATGCTAGGCACGGCTGGTGCAGTGATGCCCGGAGGGGTGCTGCCACCTTGGTTCCAGAGGTGAAGAGGGCAGAGGAGGAGGGGAGCAAGCAGAACAAAGGTGAGGGTGGTCAAAGGCTCAAAGGCAGACCCAGCACCCCAGGACTGACACGAAACAGGCAAACCAACCCCATTACATCATGACTCTCCCTGCAAGTATAACTCCATCTACCAATGGTGCCCACCCTTGAGGCTGAGTCCAGGCCAGTGGTCAGGAGGATGGAGATGTACAATATATAGACCAATGTTCTTAAACCACTGCTCCATAGACTAGTTCTGGCCTGCAGGTGTAGCCAGGCTGAAAAACACTGGCCTTGGTTGTATCCTGGCCATTCCATGGACCAGTATACAGTATACAAGTCTACCCAAAAAGGTTGAAAATGCTGGTATAGCTTATTCCCTATGCCCTTAACTTGGACCACATTTGTCCTTATTCAGATTGGTGCCAGTAGTTCTTGCTTTCCCATTATGGTCTTTGGAGGCCGCCTAGGGTCTGCTCCTTTGCTGGCTCTACTCTCTTGTCTGGATCACTGAAGGGCTGACCACCTCCTCACTGGCCTGGGGGGTGGAGAAAGTCTTAACTCTGGCGCTGCCTTTCACCAAAAAGGAAGAACCTTTGCGGGGTCCAGGTCCAGCCCTCCTCCTCCCTAGAGAAATCACCTGGGCCTTCTCCAGCTGAGCAGAGGTGATCACTGGAAGGAAGGTAAACTGAGGTTCGATTACAAGACCCCCATTTCCTCCTGAAGTCGGGTGGATCGAACCCAAGTGTACAGGCCTGGGGACTATATTGAGGCCACAGAGGTGGCCAAAGTCTTTTGTCTTCCTGGAGAAAGCAGGTGCTCCCTATGGAAAGGACCTAAAACTGGCATGGGTTCAAGTGTCCCTAAATTAGGCATGAGAGCTGGGGAGTAGTATGCAAGTTGGATCTAGATTTGTCGCGGGTGCAGTTTTGTGTGTCTCTTAGCTGGCCCAAGAACAGACCGTGGAGGTCAGGCAGGCTTCTATTATGGCACCGTGCAGAGAACCAGGGAAGCTTGGGGACAGGGCTGGGGGTTTCTGCCAGTCCTTGGGTCTAGGACAAGGGCTTCCCAATTCTCATATTCATATGGAGTCAGACAGTCCCTCATGAGGGTGATCTCTTGGACATTGCAGGAGGGTTAATGGGAGCCTGAACCCACCAGATCATAGTGGCACCTCCCTCTCCCCAGCGGTCACTGGACACAGCCAGAATTCTGGTGAGGGCTGTCAAAATGGATACTAGATAGTAGTCACAATCCAATTAAAACCATGCTTTGTGCACAGCCATTTCCACACACCCCCACCCTGCTTCGCTTGATGACCCCTGCAATGATCAAGAGAAATATGCTTATTGGATAATCATCTTGGAAAGAGCCAGGGAGTCTAGAGGGGCTTCACTGAAGGGGTTCCTCTTGTGCTGGGGCCAGGGAGCAAATCAGGTTAGAGAATGGAGAAGACTCTTCTCTTCCTGGACCTCAGAGAGAGATGTTTTCATGTTGATTTCTTTCCAGAGAGTTCTATCAGAGATTAAGGTGAATTCTCTAGGGCATGGCCATATAATGGAGTGAACTTCTCACCATCCTGGAATCCCAACGGGAACTGCATGGGCCCCACCTCCCACCTTCCCGTGGGGTTCCAGGGTTCAACATTCCAGCAATAGAACATTGCTTTGTTCTATTCTGCAGTGGAGGGAGGAGCACACCCTGCGATGTTCAAGGGCTATTCTTGGCACTGTGACCTCTAGTGGTGCTGGGGATTGGAACCAGGATTGTGGCTAATAATGCAGCTGTGTGTAAGGCAAGTGCTTTCCCTCCAGTACTGTCTCTCCAGCCCCAGGGACTAGAGTATTTTTTTTCCTTTTTGGGTCACACCCAGCGATGCACAGGGATTACTCCTGGCTCTTGCACTTAGGAATTACTCCTGGCAGTGCTCAGGGGACCATATGGGATGCTGGGAATAGAACCCAGGTCGGCCACGTGCAAGGCAAATGCCCTACCCGCTGTACTATTGCTCCAGCCCCAGGGATCAGAATGTTCTGGAGGCAACCTGCCAGATAAGAACCAGGTCTCTGCTTGGAACCAGAGACTGAATGCACAGATCAGTCCATCGGCAGGCTGGGTGCTCTCCTGCGAGAGCAGGCCTGGTGTGCGGAGCTCCTGGCTCACCTGAGGTTGGGGTCATGGGTGCCGCCGCCAGGCCGTTCATGTTGAGGGCTGCCATCTGCTGCATCTGGGCGGCGGCGAAGGCAGCCATGGGGTTCAGGTAGCCGCCCTGCGCGACCGACGCCATGAGTGCCGCTTGCTGCTGCATCAGCTGGGGCAGAGGGAGTGGAAAAAATATCACACGCCTCACGGGGGCCAGCCCTCCCCAGCAGAGGGCTCAGGGCCCAGGCCCTGAACCCCAGGGAGCTCAGAATCATCTCCCTGTCCCACCCGGAGAGCCCTGCTGCCTGACCCGCTCCTGCCCCGTGAGGCACCAATGGCTTGCAGAGACCACCACCCACTCTGGGATAGGAAACTGCATGATTCTAAAGTGGTGACTGGGTCATTGGGACCTCAGGTTATTGCAGGGGGTGGGGAAAGGGTCTGGTTTCCTGGGTGCCAATCACTTTCGTGAAGAGCCTGTCATTCATAAAGACACACAGGTACACAAACCTCTATCAACCCACTTCACATGGGTCTCTGTACCAAACACTCTTTGCTGAGTGGCTTTGCAGAAAGGAGACAGGAGAGTCGGGACTAGCACCCAGAGCACTTCCCATGCGCTCACATGGGTGACTGGGGGCTGGGGAGATGGTTAAAACTGGACGAGTTGGAACAATGCTGAAGAAAGGCAAAGGACTTGCATTTTACAAAACAAACGCTGAATAAAAAGGAAAGAACTTTGGCCTGCTCCGGTGTCCCCATGAGGTCTGCAGCTATAAATCCAGGAGGTCAGGCTGATGTGGAAAATTTGATCAGTGAGCCTGCTGACCTGTGGGAGTTGGGGCATCTCAAAGACCCCTGGCACAGTGCACAAAACCTGCAATCAGCCTTTCAAGAGCAGGGGCAGGAAGAGGAGAGCGACAACTGGACACCTAGAGCAGTCTGTGCTCCCCAGGATCTAGCTGGGGCAATGCTCAAGGTAAGTACTTCACCTGCCTAGGGACCAATCGCCCACCTCCTCCTGACAGCCCCTCAGGACTGACCCAGCCTTCTTTCATCTCCACTCTGTAATCTCATTGCTGACCAGGGCAGGAGCGGTATTTTCTGGGTCAGGTGCAGGGCTCACCTCAGTTAGGTGCTTCTGCTCTGTGCGGGAGTCAGCAGGGGAGTGGGTGCCCCCTCCCGCCCCCCCACCCCCGCTGTGCCCCCACTTACTGCCTGTGCGTAGGCTCCATAGGCCCCAAAGGGGATGGCCATGGGGTTGAACATGCCCATCTGGCCGGCCATCTGCTGCATTCGCCGCATGGTGCGCTCCTTGTCAGTGTCGGCGAACTTGACCACCAGACTTGATGAAGCTCCCTGCAGCCCCGACAGCTGGTGAGGCACATCTGCCTGGGCCAGCCGCCAGGGCTCCCAGCTGTCCGAGCCCGCCCGGACCTCTCCCTCTGCACGGGGGCGCTCTGGGGGGTGGAGTGGGGGTGGGGAGGGGCACTGACACCTGCATGGGGCCCTTGGTGCTCAGGGTGACCCCGGGGCCGGTTTCAGTACGACGTGTCTAGGCTCAATGTCTTGGGGGGAGAGTGCCTGTGTGCCTCTCCTGCAGACCTGGGCTGGAGGTGCGGGCCGGACCCGCGCCCGGCGGTGAGGGGACTGGGGAGGGTCGTGTGGATGGGGGAACCCCAGCCCGCCTTCCTCACTCACCGGCATGGTCTGGCTGCCGTGCAAAGCGTTGATAGCGGCTTGCGCCTCGGCGTGGGAGGAGTACTTCACAAAGGCGCACCCTGGGGGGACGGGAGAGGCTCAGCCACGACCCGAGGGCCCGGAGCAAGGTCAGAGAGGCGCGGGGACGGCGATGCAGGGCCCGGGCGGGTCCCAGGGGAGAGGAGGCGTCCCGGATGAGAGCAGGACGGGTGAGGCAGAGAGACACCGAGAACAGAGACACAGAGAAAGACCAGGACAGGCGCCGGGGACTGGAAAGCACCCTAAGTCACCCGGACTGAGCATGAATCAAAGCCTTTCCTTACCGCCAGGCCCTACAATGCACTCCGGGTGGCATCCGACCCGGCTCCGCCGTCGGGCCTTTTCCAAGCCGCCTTAGACCCCGCCCGCAACCTGGCGCGCGGCCGGCGGCCCCGCCCCGCCGCTCCTAGCCCCGCCCCCTCACACGCGCTCCGCCGCGCGGCCCGCCCCGTAGGCCCCGCCCCTTCAGCAGGCCCCGCCTGTCAGTCAACCGCCGCTCCTCTTAACGCTTCGCCGTGTAAGCCCCGCCCTTTTCAGCCCGCCCCTTCATCAGGCCCCACCCATCACCCACAGCCACGCCCCTTCACGTGCTTCCGCCCCGCTGCCCCACCTTGTAACCCCCCACCCGCTTCCTTCGGGATGCCCCGCCTCCTGCCTAACAGCCACGCCCCTATCTCGCTCCGCCCCCCCAGCCCCACCCAGAAATCCCCGCCCCTGACGTCAGGGCCCTTCGATAAGCCCCGCCCCGCCCCGCCCCGCCCCGCCCCTCCCCGCGCACCCTTGCTGTTGCCGTCGGGCCCACGCAGGATGGTGCACTCCTCGATGTTTCCAAAGGCTTCGAAGAGGCGGCGCACGTCGTCCTCAGACTGCTGCTTGTTGAGCATGCCCACGAAGAGTTTTCTATCTTCTGGAACAAAATTAGGAGATGCTTACCGGGGCCGGGGGCCGGGCGACGCGAGGACGGACGGACGGACGAACGGACGGACGGACGGACGGACGGACGGGGGGCGGGAGGGGGTGGGGGAAGAAGCAGAGGGAGGTGCTGGGCTAGAACGGACTCGGAGACGCTGGGCCAGAAGGGAGCGGGTGGTGAGGGAATGGGATGGGGTCGGGCATTTCTAGAGGGGTAGGGACGACTGGGCGCGGGTCTTGGGCGGGGAGAGGGCAAAGCCAGAGTGCAAGGTGAGAGGGGTTTTGTCAAGCGGGAGCTGGACTGCAGCGACACTGCCTGACTCACAGTGGTCCTCAGCCACTTTCATCCACGGATGCCAAAAGCAACTCACTCTGGGCCAGTCGGCCACAGGACCTTGGCATAGGCTCATCTCTGCCTGGGCCGCCCACCACATCCCCAGGCTGAATCCCTCTCTTCTAGAGTTCACTGCTTCCTCCATAAAGCACATCTCTTAATCTTTTGTTTGTTCTCACGGTCCTCATTGCAGTGGCTCATGTTTGTCAAAGATAATTGTCTAAGATCTACTGCTGTGCCAGGATGTTTAGTTCTGTCTAGCTCTCCTCTCCCCATTAGCCCCTTAGGGGAGAGAGACCAGGTCACCCTGCTGGACCAGCAGTACCTAGCACAGCAGGTACTGAGTGGAGAGCTATGGAATCAGAGAATGAGTGTCTTATGCCATTCCCATGACACACCTTCTGTTATCCCATGTTTATTCCTCTATCTAGCAGCCCTCCTCTTGCTCTTCCTGTTCATGCTGCAAAATTCAATTTCTGGGCAGTGTGGGGGAGACTGTTGCCGAAATTGGGCTTCTGGGCAGCCTCTGCCACCTTTGTTGGGTACCAGGAATGTTTGTTGACCCCAGTCAGCTGTGTATTTAGAGTAATAGGAGTCAGACTGAGCTATATGAGTCTGTTATCCACTTACAAGTGACTACAAGATTTCCCAGCACGCAGACTTTTATTCCTGTGTGACTCTCACCCCTTCCACAGGGGAGGACTTTGGTTCCAGCCCTTGAAAATGGGCAGGTTTTCTGCCTGCTCTAACCAATCAAGAGTGGGAGTCCCCAGCAGCTTTCCAAGGCGGAAAGGATCAGCTTGCACTGCCCTTGGATGCTGTCCTGTGGAAGCCAGCCGCCACCACCATGTCGTGAAGAAACCCCCACGGAGAGCCCACGTGGACAACAACCCAGCCCCTCAGCTGACAAGCAGTACCAGGAGAGAACGAGTCCTTGGGGGTTCTGGCCCCCAGCCAAGGCCAGCCCATGTCTAGAGCACAGACCCGCTGCATCTTGTCTAAATCCCCAACCGCGGAATCTGTAAGCAGAACGAATGGTGGTTGTGTACCACTCAGTTTGGTGCTAACTGTTCAAGCAGCAGCACTGTAGCTGGAACCAAGACCCAGGGTGACTGAAATGACACAGTCAAGGCTGCAGAGAAGGCCCTGGGTGACCACGTTCCACTGAATCCAGGGCAGGCGATACCCCAGCCCTTGCTGATAAGTAAAGTAAGTAAAGGCCCTCCCGTTGATCATCGATTTGCTCGAGCGGGCCCAGTAACGTCTCCATTGGAGACTTTGGTGATAGGGCCAGCGAATTCACAGCGATAGCTGGGGGGTTTTCTTGGAGTCTAGAGCAAAGCAAAGGGACCCCTCAGATTCTGTACTCCTCAGACGCCGCCACATCCTCACCTTTTGGGAACCCTGCCCATCACCCTGTGGAGCCTCTCGGACCACTGGCCAGGACCTGGGCAAGTTCTCCGCCATGAGCATGCCTGGAACTCCACTCTGGTTCTTGTTTTGTGTTTTGATCTTTTGGGGTCACACCTGGCGATGCTCAGGAGTTACTCCTGGTCCTGCACTCAGGAATCACTCCTGGTGTTGGCACAAGCGACCATATGGGCTATGGGGATTGAACTCAGATCAGCCGTGTGCAAGGCAAGCACCCTGCTCATTGTCCTATTGCTTCAGGCCCCCAGGAACTTCACTCTTCCATCCTTTCCACGTCTCACTGCCTCCAGAGCCTGGAGCCCAGCCCACTCACTATCTATCCAACCCTCACAGTCGAGTGTGGTGTCTTGGGCCTTGGCAAGAGAGGCTGGGAACACTCTCACCCCATCTACAGGCTCACCGGCAGCCACCTCTGGGCTTGGGGAGCAGAGACTGGGCAACAAAGAGGATGGAAGAGAGAGAGGCCAGGAGGAGATGGTACTAGGTTGACACTGTAGTAGCACTGTCGTAGCACTGTCCTCCCGTTTTTCATCGATTTGCTCGAGCGGGCCCAGTAACATCTTCATTGTGAGATTTGTTATTACTGTGTTTGGCATATCGAATATTTTACGGGTAGCTCGCCAGGCTTTGCTGTGCAGGAGAGATACTCTCGGTAGCTTGCGGTGCTCTCCGAGAGGAGCAGAAGAATGGAACCCGGGTCAGCAGGGCTGGCCGCAAGCAAGGCAAACGTCCTACCGCTGTGCTATCGCTCCAGCCCCCAGGATGACACGAGGAGAGGGAAGATGCTGGAGGCCTTGGAGGAGGAAGAAATCGAAGGCAAGAGCAGAGAACGGAGCTGGACAGGAGAGGGCAGGAGCGGGCAGGACCTTGTGCTTCGCTCCCAGAATGGCAACCACTTTGTTACCCTGGACACAGGGAATTCTGAGCAACTTCCGGGAGCCTCGGAAACTCAGCTCCCGGGAGGCCTTCCTCCCACCAGCAGAAAAAACAAAGGAGCAAAGGCTGCCTGCTAATACCTTGCCCTCCTGTTTAAAAGTTCTCCTCCCTGGGTGAGAAAAAGGAAGAAAACACAAGGCCCCTCCTCCGTCAGAGCCTGATTTAAATGCCGGCGCAGCAGCTCGGAGCTTCTCTCCTGACGTCGGAATATATTCCTTTATTAGCATGACAGCTTTCTGATTACATTAAAATTCATCCCCACGTGCCTCTCCGCTCTATCCAGCCACTTCCCTTTCCTTGGTCTTTTTCTAATGCCGTCTTTCCCTCCCCTAAAATCTGGGCACCCCTACTTCTCAGCGCAGTGGTCTAGAGCTCTTGGTTCTTCCAAAAGTATGTCCTGAACATGAAGCATGTTGCCAACACGAAGGGGCTCAGGTTCTGTCTCCTGCCTGTCGGGTTTCCCCGGGGAAGCGACACCCCCTCACTGGCTTGCCTCTCTGGGAAGGCAGCTCCTGCCTCTCGAATGTTTGTTCCTTCTCTCTTATTGCTGGTTGGCTTTGGGGAATAATTCTAGGCCTTGCCTTTCAAGTGACAGCCAGGCAGTCACAAGCCGACTCCTCCCCCGAGCCAGCTCGCTGCCTTCCTGCTCTAGACCTGCTTTCAGCTCCATCCACTGGGAGACACGCTAACGCCTCTTCCTGGTGGGTGCCAGGCTTGCCAGAGCTGCTGCACAGAGCCCAGCCCCAGGAATGATGGTATCTGACCGACAGCAGTGGGGGCTCTCTCCAGGCCAAGGGAGCGGCACTCCCTCTTGGCTTGCCAGTCCCTGGTTTGGCCATGCACACCCCGCCTTTCCCTGCTGTGTTTTGTTTTTGTTGGGGGGGGGGGGCGTCTCATCTGCTGGTGCTCAGGGTTGTCCCTGGCCTCCTGCACGCTCCCAGCCCTCAAGCTCTCACTCGCTTGCTGGCCCCAGCCTCCCTTTTTGGGGTAGATCAGTCTCCGGCTGCAGAAACAGACCAATGTCCCCTTGTGGTCTCCCTGTGTCGCTCGCTCTGGAAGGGGTCCCCGTCCCCAAGCCTTATAAGGCAACCAGTGGGCCCATTGGAGGCGTCCTGCATCTGATGACAACTCTGTGACTGCTGGGGAAACAAAATGATTTCATTTACCAGCCCTCCTGTGCTGCCTCTGCTTCCTGGGCGAGGCTGAGTGGCCACTGACCACAGCCTGCCTGCCCGAGGGATGAGGCAAGTCCGATGGATGCAGGAGAGGCTGGGGGTGCTCCCTGACTCCACTGCTGAGCTTCATGCAGGTACTGAAAAGGGGGCACAGGTGGGAGGAACCTCCAATCCTGGGCGGAGACAGCCCCAGGAAGAAGACTCCCAGTCAAGCAGTCACAAGTAGAAGTTATGAAGGGAAAGGTGTTCTCCACCCTGAAGGCTTCTGGGAGAAGGTGGGCTGGAGTCACATGGGCCGGGCACAGGTACAGAAGGGTCCAGGCCTGCCCCGGGATTTGAGCAAAGGCTGGGACAGGGGAGAGATCCCTGGCTGGTGGCTTATGCGCTGGGGCCGGAGGAGTCTGACTCGCTGTTTCCAGCAGCCTCTTGCCTGCTCGTCCCCTCACCAACACACACATCTGCTACTCCTCAGGCCTCGGCAGTCTATCACGTGCCCCCAGAATCTCACGCGAAAGCCAGCTCACAGAACTACGATAGTGGGGTGACGCCTTCTGGGAGGCCCCAGGTGTCTCCCACTTTCTCTGATCTCAGCACTAGGGGCTCTTCCACCAATTTACTCATTCAGGGCCATGAGGGGCTCTGGCTGGAAGAACTTGCACTTTGTTCATTTATTTATATGGAGGTGGGGAATTAAGCAGTACTCAGGGGCTATTCCCGGCTCTGTGCACAGGAGCGACCTCTGGTGGTGCTCAGAGGGTCCTATTTAGTGCCAGAGAGAGAAGCAGGGTTATCCGTGCAAGGACCTCAGGCAATAAAAGAGCCTTTCCTCCTGCACTCTCTCCAGCCTAGGATGTGCTTTTTTGTTTGTCTGTTTCTTTGCTGTGCTGGACACAACCTGCTATGTGTAGGGCTTGGCTCCGTGCTTGAGGATCACTCCAGACTGCAGACTAATGCTTGGGGACTCTATGTGGGATTCAACAGGGCTCTGCCCCATCCAAGGAAAGCACCTTCCTTACTGGCTAGCTATCCACCCCATACACACACACACACACACACACACACACACACACACACACACACCAGCCCCAGGAGAAATCTGCATTTTAAAAAGTCAGTTCA